TACTGCTCTTCCTCATCCTCCAACACACCCACTCTCTTACCACCTCTTGTTGTAATTGCACTACAATTCTCCTTTGGATTAGTATGAGTATTGGCTGAAAAATTTCCACCAGAATTTTTAGCCAATTGTTTGGCCAATTGCCCCACTTGAATCTCCAAATTCTTTATAGATGGTTCAGTACTCTTGTGGTTAGAGATTGAGACCTGCATGAACTGGTTCAATGTTTCTTCTAATTTAGACTGTCTATCATACAAGTTGGGCCTTTGCATAGGAGGTCTACTAGACTGAGCAATATCATTCTGGTTCCACCTTATGCTAGGGTGTGATTGCCAGTTCTTCCCATAATTACCACCATAAGTTCCTCCTTATCGAGCTTGATTCCCCATGTAATTCACCTCTTCTCCATGAGATGGGAAAGTATCAATGCACTGCCCGTGAGGATGATTCAGCCCACAAAGATCACAACTTAGAACTTGATGTTGAGTGGATTGTAGTTATTGTGGAATCCGAGTAACTTGCTTGGTAAGAGCCTCAATTTGCTGGGACAAGATCTTATTTTGAGCTAATAAAGCATCTTGAGATTCCAACTCTAAAATTCCTCTTTTCTGTCTTGACTCCCTTTCAGCCGGTAGATCATAATCATTTGCTGCATAGCATCAATCAACTCTATAGCCTCCTCTGGCGTTTTAAAACGCATACTACCTCCAGCTGAGGCATCCAATAAAATTTTCACCCATGGCTGTAATCCACCCAGAAAAATATTAACCTGAGTAAGGTCATCAAATCCATGACTTGGACATCTCCTCAATAAGGATTTGTATCTCTCCCAAGCCTCGGAAAGAAGTTCATCTTGCTTCTGAGAGAATATGACAATCTCACTCTTTGCTTGATTGATCTTAGCAAGAGGGAAGAATCTTGCCAAGAACTTTATCTCTATGTCAGACCACTTGGTTAAGCTTTGATGTGGTAGAGCATTGAGCCACATCTTAGCTTTCCCAAGTAGTGAGAAAGGGAACAGCTTCATTCGAATCACATCTTCAGGAACTTGATGTATCTTTACTGTGCCACAAAGCTCAATAAAAGTATGGAGATGCAGATATGGGTCCTCATGATCAAGGCCCACAAATTGGTTGTTCTGAATCAAATTCAACAATGCTGGCTTCATCTCAAAATTAGTGGCAAGGATTGTATAGGAGTGGCAATGCTAGAAAAATGAGTAGTACTAGTGGCAGCTTCATGATCACCAAGAGTAATTCTTGGTCTTTCCTTTGCCATTTCTGCTTTCTCTAAGATTGCAGATAAAGAAGGATTAAGAGAGGACGAAGTAGCCTCTCTGTGTTGTGCATGCTTGGCTAGTAACCTTTGCTTCCTTACTACTCACATATTCCTCCTAACTATTTTCTCAATTTCCGGGTCATAAGCTAAATCACTAGCAGGAACAATACCTCGCATAAACCAGAATCACAAAGCTACAACAAACAGTCAGCAACACAGATACAATGAATTAAAACAAAAGGAATATAGTAATTGAAAAATGTAAAAGAATAAATGAATCAAAGCCTAGATTAGTAATCCAAGTGACTTTGCCTAAGTATTGAGCCGCAAGTCCCCGGCAACGGCGCCAGAAACTTGTTATCTCCCTTGGCAAGTGTACCAAATCGTATAAGTAGTTCAATGAAAGTATAAGTATCGTCTCCCAAGGGGCTTGTGAAACACTTTGCAATTTAACTTGTTATACTAACTAAGCTACCAAAAAGCAATAAGAGTTTAATTTGCTGCAGTAAATAATGTAAACAAGCAATAACAATTATTTTTGGTATTTTGGTAATCACTTAGAGTGCAAAACTTGATTCTAATGCAATATTAATAAATTGTTGGGGTTTGACTTCACTAAAGCTTCCTTTCATGCTTATCACTAAGTTCACAATAGTTATTATTCAGAATTTATCAATCACTCTCAAAAGTAACCAACCCTAATCTCTTACAAGTTGGCATCTAAGTTGCTAACTTAAACTATCAATCTCTTGCATAGTTTAACTAAGAAACTAGCTTTAAAACCCAGAGCTTAAGAAAGACCAATGGCATTTACTCTATCTCTAGCAATAAGCACCATTAGCTGCTCTATTTCAAGTCAAAGGTTTAAAATCATTTCTCAATCTCTTAAAAACCTTAAGTTCAAGTTAAGGGTGATCAAGCCATAACAAGCATTATGCACAGAAAAAAAGCAATAAACTGAATAACAACTAACATTGATCACTTAGAGTTTCCAAATGAGAATGGGTTTAGTTACATCAAACCCCAACAAGGGTGAGTTTAGCTACACATAGACATGTAGAACTCTACAAATGATGAAGAAAGGAAGAAGCTTGATCTTGAAGGTTCCAAAGCTCCCCAACCGCCACACAAACTCCAAGAATGATCCTCTTGCTTCCCTCCTCGAAAATTCCACTTTTATGTCATAAAAGCTTTTGTCTTATGTGAATAATGACATGTCAGCACAATCCATGATAAGCGTGAGAAGCCACGCTAAGCTTGAGGATAGGTCTGGAGTGAAATGAGGTTCTGGGACTCCCACGCTCAGCCTCAAATCCACGCTCAGCGTGAGGATTGAATTTTTGTTCTAGTGATTCTCTGTCAAGCTGAGGCTAAGCGTGGATCTAAGGCTTAGCCTGGGGACTTAACCAAAAATTCCTTCAACTTTGAATTCACCACTTTGTGCTTGACTTCCTTCCTTCTTTCCTAGCTTTCTCCTAAACTACAAAACAACAACCAAATACTTGTAAGTTACCTAAAAACATGATTCAAAGACAAAATGTGATCACCTAACAATTTAGATATGTTTTGAGTTAAAAACAAGGTCTAAAGTAAGGAAAATTGATATAATTAGTGTTTCAAACTAGGCCATAAGCTTAATGAAATCATAGCACTTATCAATTTGATTTAACAAATAGTAGTAGATTATAAGGTTTATTACCAAAGTATCTTAATATCAAAGTTGTTGCAGCGAAACAATCACTTGTAATCAAGGTTGATTTTATATTAATAATTTCTTAATTAATTTCAATTACAAGAATAATATTTAGAGTATATACAACAATTGAAAATCATATCTCACAAATCTTTGAATTCTTTAATCAAGAAATTATCAAGATTCTTAAAAGGATAAGGGTAAGAAGATTTAGAACACATAAATTTATACTGGTTCAGCCATCCACTTGACCTACATCTAGTTTTCTTTTATTTAGCACCCTACTAAATCAAAGATCATTCACTATAATATTGTTTGCAAACACGATCCACACACAATATTACAAGAATTCAAACATACATCAATCTTGACACCACAAGATTGAAAACACACAATTTTTGTACCCCACGGAAATTACTTGAGAAATTCCACTCAAGATTTCAAGATCTCTTATTGAGACACCCTATCTCAAGAGATACACCATTCAAAAAAAAATACAAGTTTAAAGATCAGAAAGATATCACCTAATTTCGTGTAGATATTGATCTTTCACAATTGAATACACTTCTTGAATTTCTTTCTTCAAGAACTCATGTTCAATCTTTGCACTTCTTAGTTTTTTAGATAAATTCTTTGATCAGCCTTGATTCTTGTTTCTAAAAGTAATTTTTTCTTTAATGTTCTTTTTTCAAAAGACATTCTAATTGTTCTCTTTTAATTTCATAAAAGACAGATATTTAAAGTGTAAGACATGATTAAGTTATAAAGAGTAATAATGGAGGTAATCTATTACCTAATATGGTAATCAGTTACCAGCTCTTTAAAATTGAACCAGGAACATAAAACTACCAGGGTAATTGATTACAGGATATGGTAATCGGTTATCCCGAGCTTTCTAAGACCCAAAATTGAGTTTCATTCTATGGTAATTGATTATCTCATGTGGTAATCGATTATCCCAATGAAAACTTTGATTCTCCAGCCTTATTTCAAGCAAGAGAGTTTGTTTTAATCTATTACCAACTTTGGTAATGTGTTACCTCAGAAAACACTTGAAAAACATTTTTCAGTAACAAATTTGGTAATCTATTAACACAAAGGACATTTGAATATCCTTTTTAGTAACAGACTTGATAATCTATTACCCTATATGGTAATTTATTAACAATGTTATCTTGAAAACTCTTGTTTGAATCAAGTCATATTTCTATCTTTAAACACTTGGTATTAAATTACCTTTTCATGATAATCTATTACTTTATGTTTACACATGAAAATACTAAAAAATTAAATTTTTGGTTTCTTAAAAAACTTGATTAGTTCTTGAATTAAGCATTCATCATTGTCATCAAACAAACAAATACACACAAGCTTATATCTATTACAATCAATACAATATCCTTTTGCATAAACTTAAGCAACATCTATATAATGCATCATCAAAACTAAAACAATCTTCAGAAGTCTTTGAGATGTCTCATCATCTTTAACAATCTCCATCATCTCAATATATTTCATATTAAAGAACTTTGGATGCAATTTACACTATAAATCTACAAAAGTATGTATTAACATTTTTATGCTAAAGCAGTAAAAGAATCATCTACAATCAAGAACGGCTTTTTACGTGTTAAGAGATAATATTTTTTCATTTTTTAAAATAAATAAATTTTCATAAAATTTAATATGAATAAGTAATGTTTGTAAAACACAACTTTCTGAATATTTCAGAAACAGAATTTATTTCATTTCAAGAATTTATTTTTGGGATTATTCATTTTGGAAATTAATAAATAAAAAAATAAAAATAAAAAATAAAAAATAAAAACCTCAGAAGGGTTAAAAAAAGTCATCAACAACTCATTATGACAGAATGATCATCAGGTAACAAAATCATGGCGGTAATAAATTTAATCAACGACTTTAATTGCTCTCAGCCGCGACCGTTTTGATACATAAAAGAATCTTGCACGGATGAAGTCAGTGTTTGAATTTCTCTTTGCTTAGTTGCTTTCTTTTTTCCTATTTGATTTGAAGAAGCAATTAAATCTTGAAGAAGGAAGCTAATGATCAATGGCTAAGGTACCACACATTCAAGAATTTTCAAAGTTAGGTGAGTATACTGTGACATTGATTTGTATATCTTTCTTTCTTTGGAGTAATTAATTTGTATTTTTGTTTTTTTTTTCTCTTTTGGTAGTTTGTTCTTTATTCAACATTAGTTATCAATATTTCCCATAAACAAAACTTTAGTATTTTGAATTTGTAGAAGTAATATTTTTAACTGCAAACTGTCTTTTCTTGTCATCCTATCATTTCGTGAAAAAGAAGATTTGTACCAAAACAAAAGATGATTCTACGATGGTGCCTCATGGCGGCTTTGTAACATGCTATTATAATATTATTTTATTAAATATTACTAAAATATTTTAAAAGACAAAATTAAAAAAAAAAAAAAATACACAATGCACGATTGAAAACTCTTCCACAGAAACCCCATGGAGGGTTCTTCCTCATGTTGTGGAGGCGCACGTGAGGGATTCATTTTAAATTTTTGGAAAACAAAATAAGAAGTTTGACTAAGAAAGAAAAGATCTGGGAACAAACACACTATATTTGAAATTTAAATCTACGAATAATTAAGTCTTGAAATAGTTCCCCTAGTCAGTATTGGAATTTCTTGCTGTCATAACTGAGCATTTTGAACTTGACTTTGGTTACAGAATCTGACACGAGAAAGAAGCTTGATGGTTTTATCAAGTTCAGCAATGGAGAAAAAGATGATACGAAAGAAGAAAATGTAGCCAAAAAAGACCTGAAATCTTTAGAATCTGACCTAAAGTTTGATTTGCGAAAGAGTTTAGCATGGGATAGTGCCTTTTCCACATGTTCTGGTACAATTCATATTCCATGGAATGTATTCAATTTATTTTTTTTTGGTAAAAGTTTAGTACAGTATGATAGGTATGTTGAGTGTTATTTTCTGATTAAAATTGAAATTTTACATTGATAATATATATTTATATTTTGTTAAGCCTTTAATAATATATATTTAGACATATTACTGAAGTAAAATTTTAATTTTGGTTGGATAACAGTATTAAATGTATCTTATATTTTGTCTTGTTTTTTATTCAATTTTAGTATTCATGACCAAATTCATCCTCAGGATTTCTTGAAGCAGAGGAGTTGTTCCATGCTTCAAATTCATGGGACAATGAGAATGATTGTGACATATTGGTACCTGAGCAGGCTCAGCTTTTGTCATGCAATTATTTGAAACCTGAAACTAAGAGCTTCACTGGTGTATTCAATTTAAGAAAGAGTTTGGATTGGGATAGTGCCTTTTTCACAAGTGAAGGTGTGCTTAATATAGTTTACATGTCTTCTTGTAATTACTAGTTACTACTAATCAAAAGTGTGTTTCATTTTCTTTATGTTTAGACTTCTCTTTGCTTTCTCAGGAATTTTGGATCATGCGGAGTTATCTCGTTTAAACAAAGGGTTTAAGAAATCTGAAATAGATATTCTTCCTCCAATACAAGAACTAAGGATCTCATCCGAGTCGAATTGTACTATTGATAGTGAAGTATCCTCATTAGCAACTCTGGAGATTTCTACCAATCAGTTTGGAGAAGCATCCAACACAGTTGCTTCAAGCTTCAGAAACATTCAACATTGTGAGTATGAGATTTTTATTTGACACCCCTTGAATACAAAAGGTGTCCATGTCCTGCATATTCAGTAGAGGTAAATGGAATAAATCTGGCCCTGCCCCTAATAACCATATATTTTTTATTGCTACCTCTCAAAGATTTATTTGCTCTTCATCTGCTCTTGATATTACTTTTTAACCAGTTATTACTTTTTTAATAATTATCACAATTGAAAGTAATATATTATTATGAAAAAGCAAATACTCAGGAATGATTTGCGGCATTCCACTTTTACCGAATAATATTATTTATTTTGTTACTTCCAGCAACAAAAAAGACGGATGGAGATTGTATCCCCAAATTGAAGGTTTGTTTTTTGTTATGATTGACTAATTATGTAGCACTGAACTTTTCGTTCAAAATAATTCAACCTTAAAAAATTTCAGGTAAAATCCATTTCAAATTTGAGAAGGCCAAATATAAATGGCAATCAACCAGGGAGGAGTGCTAAGGAATCATCGATTCGCCCATCATGTAAGGTATGTCTCATTGTTGTGATCATATACAACTTTTAGAGTTTAACATGTGCATAGTATTGGTGTAGAAGTTGTTACAGTGCTAACCAATCAATTTTTTTTAAATTAATTATAAAAATCAACAAACTTATTACATGTAGATGATAATATATAAAATTTTTATTTTATCGGTACATGTATTGTTTTTTCTTATACAGAATTCTACTCTATTAAAAAAAATGATATTTGAAAATGAAGAAGCCTTTGTTATAACTGAATTCATTTCAAGTATGTCCATCTTATGAAAGCATAAGAGCACTTCCATTGGCAGAAAACTGACACGGTTCTACTGATGAAAGTTTTCTGCTTCAAGTGGAATATCTGATCTCTCATCGTCTCTAAAGCCACCAAAGTTACCAAGAAGAGTTAGAAGAAATGCCACAACAGCTCCCACCAATAGAGTTCCTTTGTTTTCAAATGAAAGCAAAACTGTCAAACCAAGTGGTAAGGTTTCTAAATACATAATGGCACACAAAGTTCACATCTTTTTTACTGGCCTTATTTCTAAGGAATTAAAAACAATGATTATTGCAGGAAAATGCTTGATGGAGAAATCTAACCTGTCCAAGACTTGCAGTGATGATAATAGTAGTTGTACCACTCTCTCTTGGGATTTTTCATCATTGAGCTCTAAGTCTTGTATGAATGGCTCCAAGGGATTAAATTCACCCTCCTACAAGCTTTCTCCCTGGCAATCATCTTCCAAGGTTTCAAATCCTTGTAGTCTGGAAAAGGGAAGCAATTCTGTTTCTTTTGATTCTTCAAGAACTGCAAAGCCTTCTGGTCTCCGAATGCCATCACCTAAAATTGGTTTTTTTGATATGGTTAGTTATTGAAATACTTTTAGTTGATTGTTGGATTTTGTTCACAGTAGCACACCCTTTACACACTCTTTATTTAATGAGTCAGTCATGATTTTTTAGTTTTTAAAGAATTTTAACCGATAATAGTGTGTATCTGAAAGTGTGTTTTTAACTGATTGCTGAATTAGTATTCTGTTTGGTGGGAAATTTTCAAGTAAATGAGGTTTTATTTGCAGGATAATTTCCCGGTGTCTATAGAAAACACAGGTAATAAGTCAAATTCAAAAGCTCTTTCCAAGACTCAAAGTGGACAGATTTTGAAGGATGTAAGAAATATAAGGACTTGTGCTTGGAATAATAAGTCGACAATCTCAAGGAACATGAAGTTTGGCTCTCGGGCAGTTTCCAATGTTGGTGAGGCCAAGGATTGCATGAGAAATGAGATGTGAGGGTGTAGACAAATTTTTTGATTGGATTTGAGAATAAAATCAAACAAAATGTTAAAAACTTTATATACGGGGTGCTGAAGTGATAGAGTTTGTGGACAAAACATTCTCAAACTGAAAAGTAGTAACCGTTCATATATTTCAAGGTTGCAATTGTTCATTTCTTAATTGTGGGTTGGTTTATATATATATATACTATAAAAATAAGTTTACCTAGATTTACTTTATTCAGTAACTCATACTTTATATCAAATTTTAACGATTCAATCAATGAATTTAGAGTATAAATTTTTAAAAGAAATTAAAAATTATTGAGTTTTTTACTCACATAATACTATTTTAATTTTTTTTTATCCAAATAGCAACTGTGCAAATTTATTCCCCAACTAGCACTATTTGTGTAAAAAAATAACACATAAAAAACGGATCAGAACGGGCCGTTCCAAAATCAAAATTAGCACATAAAAAGTAGAACCAGAACGGGCCATTCTGCATCCAGAATGGCCCATTCTGGCCTATAATATAAATTTTTTTGTTTGATTTTCACTTATCAAATACTAAAACTTAGAGACTACCATCAAGTAATTAAATTTATTGAATATTAACATTATAAATATAACTAAATAAATTTATTAAAATTCATTACAACAATAAAGATCAATGGTGGCGGAAACTGAATTCATGATCAATATTTGGATATGTCTTCCTAGTGTGATTAGGGGTGTGACAATAGGAACAATTTTTTACACGATTATGTTGTTCTCTAATGTCCATCTCTGTTCTAATCTTGCTAGACTTTGACCGACTCTTGAAAGTTCTCTTGAGTTCTGGATTTGGCCACAAAGTTGAAAGAAACGCAACATCCGAGAAAAGTTTGACCCGCTGGGAGATTTACAGTAAGGCTAAATAAAATGTGGTATGATTGTGGCAAGTTCTAGAAAGGTATATGAAGGACAGTTTGGAGAGCTCCGACATGAAGATTATTGACCTACTTATACTGGTCCAACTCTGTGGCCAAATCCATAGCTCAAGGAAATAATACTATTTTTGCAGAGTTGCTATTTAGGTAAAAAAAAACTTAAAATAGTATTATTTGTGTAAAAAATTCAAAATTATTTGATATTTTCTTTCATTAATTTAAATCAACAGATAAAATAATTTTATGATTATCTATCAATTTGAATTAATCAAACAAAGTATCAAATGATTTTTAAATTTTTTAAAAATTGTAAATTTGATCTATACATTAAAAACTTTAAATTCAACTGTTAGATCATTAAAATTTGATGTAAAATATAAATTATTAAATAGAATAAATTTAGGTAAACTTACACCCAAAATAAACGGATCTTATATATATATATATATAAACTTGAGAAGAATCCCAAGAAACAAATTAAAAACTGCAAGCAAAAACAGTAAAAGAAATGTCAAAGACTAGCCACATGATTAGCTTCACCCACGCAAACCTTCCACCAATTCCGTTAAAAGATACGATGCTATGAACCAAAGCATAGCTATATGAGAGATCTGAATACCATTTTTTTTTTGGTGAACAAAGGGGCTTAAAGCCCAATTACAAACAACTCAAGGATGAATTGACAGGTTTGTCTGCTTCTAAATAACTAAGAAGGAAATCGGGAGGGGAATTAAAAAGAAGAAAGTCTTCATCCATAGGCCCTTTATATCTATCTAGCTAGGCAATCGGCCGTCGAATTTGCTTCTCTGAAAATGTGAGAGATTGAAATGGACATCTCATGACCTAAGAGGGAGATAATCTGTTGTACCAAGTTGTAGCATGGGTGAGTTGTAGGACACCCCTCAAGTATTAGCTTTACTGCCATAGAAGAATCTGTTTCTAGCAAAGCTCTCCTGTTAATGCCTTTATACTGAAGGAGTCGAAGGCCATGCCAAATGGCCCAGAGTTCAGATTGGATTATGGAACATCTACCCAATTAACACGAGTATGCTACCACGAAGTTGCTGTTCACGTCTCGAATGACCCCTCCACAAGAGGCAGCCCCTAATCTAGAGATTGAGCCGTCACAATTAATTTTAACTGAACCCTTGGGATGGAAACTCCATTGCTGCGCAATTGTAGAATAAAAAGGATCTAAATGAGACTCTAGGATTTCTAAAGAAGAACAAGTAGCAGCTAACAAGACTACACGAGCCTTGATTACCGCTACCACCTGATTAACAAAGGAGTTAGCATTCTAAAATAGGAATTGATTTCTTCTATGCTAGAGGTTATCAAGGGCTACCGCAAACAAGGTACTCCAGTCTTCCCACATGAACCCAGATTTCAATAAGTTACGTAATAACCAAGCAAGAAGATTTGCAGTGAAGAATTGGACATCCTCACGTTGCCCAAGCAGCTGCTTCCAAACTGCTCCAGCAAACGGGCAATCCCGTAAAACATGTAGTTTGTTCTCAATGCCTGTGGTGCAAATGTCACAAGAGGAGCTATTATTCAATCCCAACTTCATTCTAAACTTATTCGTTAGCAAACTATTATGGGCTATTTTCCATAGAAGAGTTCAAATTCACTCAAGACCTTTCCAATGCCAAATTACTTTGAAAATAGGATGAGAAGTAGGGGCTTGCATCGAACCAATTATCTCATATGCTGATTTAATCGTGAAGAGACCGTCATTAGTAAGGTTCCAACACGCACGATCGTTACTAGCAGCTAAACAGGGAGGATCCAATCTTCTAATATGGTTGACGATCTCATCGGGAAGATAACTCTGGATACGGCCCAAATCCCATTCACCTTGCATATTCACATAATCTCTAACTGATTTTGATAGTTCCTCAGCTGGAAAAAAAGTCAAAGCTGCCAGAATTAATGCTTCCAACCCTGGTACCCATCTATCAAACCAAAATTTCACAGATGCACCATCACCTACAATCCATCGAATATGCATCTTCACAAGGTTCAATGCCTCGCATATTCCACGCCACAAATTGGATATCTTTTGCTTGTTCTCGATTCTTGGTAGAATACCATCTAAACATCCGTATTTGGATGACAGAACTTGTACCCATAATTTTTCTTTCTCTGTGATCATACTCCAGCAATTTTCATCATGAAGGCCATATTCATATCTCGCATATTATGAATACCAAGGCCACCCTGATTTTTGGGTTGGCAAATTATCGACCAGCTTACCGTATGCACCTTCTTGTTATGACTGGTATCGCCTCATAGGAATTGTCTGTTCTTCTTATCAATATCATGACATATATTACGAGGAAGCCATATTGTTTGCATGGTATAGGAAGGGAGAGCAGTGAGAACAGATTTAGTTAATGTTAACCTTCTAGCAAAGGATAAACTCTTCGCTTTCCAATTATTAAGCCTTTGCGTTACCTTCTCAATGATGCCACTATACGTTGCTCGATTCACTCTTGAATGGTGTAAGGGAATACCCAAATATTTCCCAAGGTTTTCTGCTCTTTGGAAGCCGAATGACGAGCTAATTTCATTTCTAACATTCCAATTCACATTTTTGGAGAAGAATATCCTTGTTTTATCTTGGCTAATCTTTTGACCTGAGCTGGTATAGAATAAATTCAAACAGGCTTGGATAATTTCAACTTGATCTAACCTAGCCTCCGCAAACAAAATTAAGTCATCCGCAAAAGCCAAGTGAGATAATTTAGGCCCACTTCGAGATAAACGAATGGGTTTCCACAATTTATGAGTAAAAGTAATGTTGATTAGATGAAATAATCTCTCTATACATAGTACAAACAAGTACGGAGAAATCGGATCACCCTGTCTTATTCCACGTGACGGAGAAAAAGACTCCAACATCTCTCCATTCCAAAGCATTCAGAATTTAGCTGTTGATATACAATTCCAAATGAGCTCGACAATTTTAAGTGGGAAACTAATATCCTCCATTGTCTCCTTGATAAAATTCAAATTTAATCTACCATATGCCTTCTCCAAGTCTATTTTGATAGCCATCTATACTGTCCCAGTCGGATCCTGATTTGATACCCTTTACAGGTTTCGATCCGATGAATCTTGAATATGGGTCTTCTCGGTCGGCAGGAGATCTAACCTCTCACATGGGTAAGATCAGTCGGACCGCGATCTCACCCACCCCCTGGACGAGCTCGGCTTAGGTGAGCTCGGCAAGGGTGTGCTCGGCCATGGTGAGATCGGCCAGGGTGTGCTCGCCCATGGTGAGAATGGCTAGGGTGTCCTCGTCCATGGTGAGATCGGCTAGGGTGTCCTCGTCCATCGTGAGATCGGCCAGGCTGTGCTCGGCCATAGTGAGATCGGCCAGGGTGTGTCGACCATGGTGAGATCAGCCAGGGTGTGCTCGGCCATGGTAAGATCGGCCAGGCTGTCCTCGGCCATGGTGAGATCGGCCAGGGTGTGCTCGGCCATGGTGAGCTCGGCCAGGTACGGTCGACCAAAGTCTGAGTGGGTCTCACCCTTTGGACTGGTCCGAGAATCAAGGATGAAAAGCTTATCTTTGATAATCAAATATTCCTAAGGAAAACCGTTATCTTTGGCTCTAAGGCTTAACCTAGGAAGAAACCCTAGTCCATCCTTTGGCCGGAACATTTTGGCGCCCACCGTGGGACTAAGTTGAAACTTTTCCTACGCCCCAAGCAATACGAAAAACCTACACTCTACTATGGCGAGAGGCGACACATCCAACCACGACCCACAACACCCTACCATGGAGGAGATGATGGCATTGATCAATGGCTTGAGAGAGGAGAATGCACGATCTAGAGAGAGAGAGAAGGCCATTCAACGAGAGAACGAGGAGATCAGACGACGAGCCAACGAGATGCAGGCCATGATAGCGGCTAATATGAGGACAGCGAAAGAAGATAGTATGACGGAAGTTCTGAGGGACTTTATACCGTTTTCAGAGGCGATTTAATCTGAGGCCATCCTAAGAGATCATAGGATACCTCAGGTGGAACCGTTTGACGGGACACAGGATCCTAATCAACATCTAATGGACTTTCGTGCTCAAATGTTAATTGCTGGAGGAAGCATGGGGGTCCACTGCAAGTTATTTATGGGAACATTATAGTCAGTTATTCGTTTTATATTACGTGCGCTCTTTCCTAAATTAGTATTTTTATTCGTACAAAAATGTGAGAGGTT